TGTCTTGGCTATTGTAAATAGTGCTGCTATGAACACTGGGGTGCAGGTGTCTTTTTGAAGTAGGGTTCCTTCTGGATATATGCCCAGGAGCGGGATTCCTGGGTCATACGGTAAGTCTATTCCTAGTCTTTTGAGGAATCTCCATACTGTTTTCCATAGTGGCTGCACCAAACTGCACTCCCACCAGCAGTGGAGGAGGGTTCCCTTGTCTCCACAGCCTCTCCAGCATTTGTCATTTGTGCACTTTTGAATGATGGCCATCCTGACTGGTGTGAGGTGATACCTCATTGTAGTTTTGATTTGCATTTCTCTGATAATTAGTGATATTGAGCATTTTTTCATGTGCCTATTGATCATTTGTATGCCTTCCTTGGAGAATTGCTTGTTTAGGTCTTCTGCCCACTTTTGGATTGGGTTGTTTGTTTTTTTCTTATTAAGTCATATGAGCTCCTTATATATTCTGGAGATCAAGCCTTTGTCGGTTTCATTTGCAAAAATTTTCTCCCATTCCGTCTGTAGGTTGTCGTTTTGTTTTACTTATGGTTCCCTTTGCTGTGCAGAAGCTTATAAGTTTCATTAGGTCCCATTTGTTTATTCTTGCTTTTATTTCTATTGCTTGGGTAGACTGCCCTAGGAGAACATTTCTGAGATGTATGTCAGATAATGTTTTGCCTATAGTTTCTTCTAGGAGATTTATTTTACCTTGTCTTATGTCTTTGATCCACTTTGAGTTTATTTTTGTGCATGGTGTAAGGGAGTGTTCTAGCTTCATTCCATCTGCTTCTTGACCAGAGTTATGGAAATCCTGACTCTGTCCACTGGATGGTCTCAGAGTGGCCTCACCAGTCCGCCAGGAGCTGGCCCCAGCGTGCTTCCCCAAGGGCCTGAGATGGGCCTGGCTGAGGACAAGCACACTGGCCCGGCAGCCCGGCTTGCTCTCTTTTCTCTTTTTCCCGTCTCTTTTTCTTTTTCTTTTTCTCATTAAAGTAAAACAGAAACTCTTTGTAGATGTTGACTGAATAAAAACACACAACCTAAAGGCTGAGAATTATGTTTTATTTGAGGACAACAATGAGGGCTACAGCCCGGGAGATAGCCTCTTGGATAGCTCTGCGGGACTATTCCAAGGAGGTAAAGGAGGAGACAGGGTGTATAGGAGTTTTTGCTGGAAAAAAAAAAGACCCATATAGTTGGACACCGAAAGATTACTGCAAATCACAAAAAAGCAGACATCTCCAGGTGACGATCTGAGCGCCCTTCTTGATACGGGAAGTTGGCGAGACTCTGGGCCCACCGAAACCCTTCCTTTGATCTCCTCTTAGCTCTCTGGGGCCAGCATCCTGTTTTCCTCCATCCTGTGTCCCCTCAGGGCCCACAGCTGGGGGCTGGTTCATGCTTCGGTGGCAGGCAACGTTCTTTGTTTCCCGAAATGGGAGGCAACATTTTTTCTCCACGTGGATGACAGGGCTTTAACACGTCGGTGGCTGACTTCCTCCTGATCATTTTCAAAGGGAAGGGTCTGGCGAGGGTTCATAACCAGAGTAACACAACTGCGAACGGCATTACTCAAAACTGCTGCAGCTGGCTGTTTCCGTGTCCTGCAAGACAAAGTTAGTCCTTGAGAGAAGTCTCAGATAAAGTTAATCTACGACGTCTATGCCTGTTTCCAAAGAAGACCGTGAGCAGTGTATCTGACATAAAAATGGATGAGCGTAATTTTTATAGAGGAAAAATTCGTAAGATAGAACAGCAAATAATCCTGAAACAATGCACTGTGAATACACCAAGAATATCAAGTGGAGAGTCAGGAATCGTGGAGCAGCTGGTCCTGACGGTCGGCATGGCAATGGAGCGATGCGGAGCCCCAGCTGTGAACGCCTGGCCTGGAAGATGCTGGGTTCCCTTGAGCGAAATCAGGCTGTCACCAGGTTCACACTTAGAGCAGTAACTGAGTTTTCAGCTCTAGGCGCTGCACCCGTGTTTTCTCACGAGGCCAGGCGAGCCCTTCAGGACCCTGATGAGGACAGACACGGAAGCAGCCAGGGCCCCGACAGAGTGCCAGGAAATCCCTCAGATCTGCTGTATGAGTAACATTTTACTGACAGATGTGACATGAAGTGGGGTGGCCCGAGCACCTCGTCTGATCCAGCAATCCCTCTTGTGAAACTCAGCGACCGTAACACATTAATAGACCTAATTATTTCCCGCACCCCTCTCTTTTTGAAGTACAGCCAGTTGCAACGCGTCAGTTCCTCGTGTGCAGCATTGTGTGTGTATTTTCATGTTCCTTTCATTAAAGGGTATTATATCCCTCTTTTTATAAGGACAGATCTTTGTGATTTTCCAGGGCCCTCTGGGAAATCTCAAGGATAATTTTAGGGTGAAAAGGGTACCCTGTACATTTTACCTTCTTTCACAGTCAGGGCTCTGTTTTGAGAAGGGTAGGATCGGGGGCTGTGTGGAGATCTGAGCGCTAAGCTGGGATCACGGGTGCCTGAGAAGCGGTGCTTGTCAGCTCAGGCAAGCGTGACAAGAAAACATTCAAAAAGAAGCAGAGGGGACTGTAACTGTAAAGACCTTTAGGGCGCAGGTGAGGAAGGGAGAGGCGGGGCCTCGCTGCTGGGCTGGGCACCGGTGTGAGCGGGACGCGTGCGAGCCCCCGTCTGCCTTCCCTGTATTGGTTTTCACGTAACCCACAGGCGGAGAACTCCTGGAGCCCTCACTACCGTTTGTAGCCAAGCGGATCTGTTCTGAGAAATGCGATTTCAGCGGTGATTGTTCCTTGTGGGACGTCAGCCTCAAGATAAATTCCAAGATTTTTAGGTTGAGTTAACGAATGTTCGTTTGATGCCTGTACCATTTCTGAGTAAGGCAGGACGTGGAAGCACTGAGCGCAAGACTCACCGTCCAGTTGACAAACTTGTGCTCCTTTTTTCCCTCTGCTGCAGGGAAGGTGTGCTCTGGGCCCTTGAATGGATGTGCCCGTCACTCTCAGGGGCTGCTGGGGTGTGTGCGCCGCTGTGGAAGGTTTCTGGGTGTTCGCGAGTTCTGCTGAAGTGCCGCCAGGTCACATGCCCCCAGTTGTCCTCCCCTGCGCCCTCTGTGGTCCTGGAGGGGCACACGCCCTTCTTCTCGGGTGTTTGGGAGAGCCCCAGAAGCGATGTGCACACAGAGGACAGACCCTTTCCCTCATCTCGTTTCTAGGGAAACCGCCTCGTCACCCCCTTCCCACCCCTGAGGCCCAGGGCCCAGGTGAGGCGCCCGACCCACCCCTGGGACAGTTGCAACCCCACCTCACAACTCAGGTAACACTCCTTTAACTAAGAAACGTATTTTTAACAACTTTTATTAATTACTTAAGTATTGCATTTTCAGTGGAGAAACTTCAAAGGATAGTAAACACAATTTTATTTCTTTCACTATATGTGTTTTTTCTTAGTTGAAGTGTAGTTGATTTGCAACGCTGCGCTAGTTTCTGGTGCGCAGCATGGTGATTCAGCTGTGTACACGTGTGTATACATGTTCTTCCTTACTCAAGCTCGTTACAAGACACCAGAGAGTCCCTTGTGCCATACAGCTAGATCTGCTGTCTGTCTGTTTTGTATAAAGTAGTGTGTGTCTGTTAATCCCAAACTCCTAATTTATCCTCCCTCACCCCCTTTTCCCCTTTGGTAACATAAGTTTGTTTTCTGTGTCTGTGAGTCTGTTTCTGCTTTGTAAATAAATTCATTTGTGTCATATTTTAGTTTCCACATCTAAGTGATATCATGTATTTGTCTTTGTCTGACTGACTTAGTGTGATCATCTCTAGGTCCATCCATGTTGCTGCAAATGGCATTATTTCATTCTTTTTATGGCTGAGTAGTATTCCACTGTATAAATATACCACAACATCTTTATCCAGTCATCTGTTGATGGACACTTAGGTTGCTTCCATGTCTTGGCTGTTGTAAATATTGCTGCTATGAACACTGGGGTGCAGGTGTCTTTTCAAATTAGAGTTCCCTCTGGATACAAGCCCAGGAGTGGGATTCCTGGGTCCTATGGTAAGTCTATTCCTAGTCTTTTGAGGAATCTCCATACTGTCTTCCACAGTGGCTGCACCAAACTACATTCCCACCAGCAGTGTAGGAGGGTTCCCTTTTCTCCACAGCCTCTCCAGCATTTGTCATTTGTGGACTTTTGAGTGATGGCCATTCTGACTGGTGTGAGGTGTTACCTCATTGTGGTTTTGGTTTGGGTTTCTCTAATAGTTAGCGATGTTGAGCTTCTTTTCATGTGCCTGTTGGCCACCTGTATGTCTAACACAATTTTAAAAGCTTCCAACTTTCAGCACTCCAGCATAGTTACCAGTAACATTTCAGTGCATTTCCTGCTATTTTACTAAATTACAAACTGTATCATATGTATGTTTAATTAGATAGTTTTCCCCACCTAGGTATTTATTTTCGGAATCTTTGCCAGTATGCTAGGTTAAAAATGCATCTTTTAAAATTGTCTTCCTGGGCACCGGGGAAAGGATTGTGTGCTGTGCAAAAGCCCGGTCTCCTGGGAGGGTGGGGGTGACTTAGAGGCCATCACGCCCGTCCTGGCTGGTGGACCCCAGGAGGCCTCACCACCCTCTCTGGCTTGTCACAGAGCCCGGTAAGTCCCTATACCAGAAATCTGGGGAGTAGCATTTCTTCCTAACACACCCCATCAGTGACCCACGAACACTCAACTTCCTTTATTTAAACGCCCATGCCAGGACTCTAAGAATGCCAAGAGAGAATGTTTCTCTGAATGCGTGGGAAAGAGCCAAGCTCACTTGGCACAGACAGTCTGCAGAAAGGACACTGGGCCAGGCTGCGTGGCGAGGCCCAGGCAGGTATGCAGGACCCACCAGGACCAGGGTCTCTGTGTGGCATCCCTGGGCAGGACTCACCCAGACCCAGAGCGCTCAGGGTCAGAGGGTGGCCACTGCCCCGAGTGACAGTGCTTCGGTCACCAGGCGCCTCCCTGGGGATGATGGGGCCTCTGCGGGTGGGTCCCAGTGGTGCATTGGTGGAGGGAGCACACAGGCCCCCCAAGGGCCCTCCTGGGTGTGGCTGCAGAGACGGGGCCTCAGGGCGTTGGTCCAGTCCCCCCGGGATCACCTCGCCCCAGGGGTCTGGGAGCCCTGTTGCCTTCTCAGGCTGGAGAGAGGGTGGCTTTCTGGGGTAATTCTCTTCTCTGACTTTCAGAGGCAGCACCCAGTCCCCACAGTGACTTGCAGATCGACTCCTCAGAAAGAAAACCAGTCCCCAAAGCCACGCCTGGCTCAGGAATTCCAGGAGGAACGTGGCCCCCATACCCAAGGGTCCTCATCAGTTGCCAGCAGTTCCCTCCAAGACACCTGGAAGTTACTCGACCTGGGATCCAGCCCTTCCGGCCTCACCTCTCCGGATGACGCAGCTCCAGGTAGGCGCCGCTGCCCAAGGATGGTGTGGGGTGGCTCTCAGGCTGACCTGCCGCAGAGTGAGCGGGGCTTAGGGGTCTGTAAATCCCGCGCCCTGAGCGTCTCCCAGGGACAGACTGCGTCCCCTAGCTCCGCGTCACGGGGACCAGGCGTACTCTGAGTGGGGTCCACGGGCCACGGGGACCATTGCTGCCCAAGGGCTTGGTGCGCTGTGTACGGTGCGACCCTAGGACAGGTGGCCGGGGCGTGTCCTTGGCCACTGGGAGCTCGCCCACCCTATGGTCAACCGTGAGGGTCTCAGGAATATCCATCTGGGGGCCACCTTTGTGGGGGCCACGTGAGACTAGGTGTGGTGGGAGGGCGGAGGGGGCGCCGTGTGAAGCCCAGAGTCTCTCCCAGATCAGCTCCTGGCGACCGGCCCCCACCACGCCGCTGCCTGGTGCGCTTGCTGCCGCGTCACCGTGACTTGCCGAGGGCGTTGCTTTGTCGGAGGTTTGGGCCCCATCAGCCACCCCACCGAGGCCGGCGCCGCTTCCCCCTGCCCCCCCCCCCGCCGCACCACAGGCCCCCGTCACCGTCATCGGGGCCTCTGCCCTCACGAGGTGGTGGCCTCTCCGCGTCTGAGAGTTGCTTCTTTTCACTCGTGTGTTTGTGGGGGGCAGGCCTGTGTATTTACTTGTTCATCTTGAGAGGAGGTGCTGGGGGTCGAACCCAAGACCTGGCGCCCACCTAGCACGCGCGCTCCTGCTGACCTGCGCCCTCCCCCCGGACACACTTCAGTTCATAGGAAGCAGAAGCGCCTTGTGAGGCGGCAGGAACTCAGGCCACGGCTGAGCGGAGGGCAGGGCCCAGGAACT